GTGAGCATGCTGATCACCAGTGTTTTGAACTGTGCATCTAATAGGTTGGCTATCTCTTTGTCGCTTAAAAGTATTGGCTCTGGGACTTTGAGCTGTTCTTCTGCTTGGGCCGTAATGTTTTGGTCTGTTGGCATCTGTTACGTATGAGGAATGGGTCAACCCAGTTGCTGGGTTGTGACTGGGAGCAGGGTCAGAGAGGGAGCAATGGCACTTGTTCATCTCTCTCTCAGATTTCGGCCCCCTCTGCCTCTTCCCACAAGCAAATTGGGCCCTTCTGGTGTTGGTTCCTGGGTGGGTGGGCTTGTGTACGTTCTAGGACCCTGTGGGTCTCTCCAATGAACTCTCCTGTGAGGCTGGGAGCCTCTCCCAGCACCTCAACCCCTGAAAGTTTTTCCAATAGTTGCTTTTAGGCTTTAATTCCTGTCACTGGGGCCCTGGGTTGTGCAGTCTGTCTCACTGCCTGGTTTATCTGCATACAAATGTGTGTCCATAATCAGCCAGCCACCTTGTGAGCCTTACTGGGTGCCCATTTCATCCCTGTGCCTGCCCAGGTCCACTAAATACCACCTTTTCCTCCTGGGACCTCTTTCTGCTGGCCACTGACTCCACCCCTCTTACCAGTTTGTATGAATGGTTCGTCGTTGTTGGACTTTGGTACAGTTCAATTTTCTGTCTGTTTTGATCGTGTTTTTGTTTCTAAATCTTTGTTGTCCTTAAATTTGGTTGTGTGAGGAGGAACAGTATTTCCACCTATGCCTCCAGCTTGGCTGGAAGTCCTCTAAATAAAATCTTTGCTAGGTAGAACAATCTTGGCTGGAGGTCCCTGCTTTTCATGACTTTGAATGTTTCTTGCCAACCCCTTCTAGACTGCAAAGGTCCTTCTGAGAAATCAGCTGGCAGTCTTATGGGAAATCCCCCATAGGTACCTAACTGCTTTTCTCTTTCTGCTTTTAAGACTCCCTCTTTGTCTTTAACCTTCAGCATTTTAATTATGATATGTCTTTGAGTGGACCTCTTTGATTCCATCTTGTTTGGGACTCTGTGCTTCCTGAACTTGTATGTCTATGTTCTTCACCAAATTAGGGAAGTTTTCTTTCATTATTTTTTCAAATAGATTCCAATTATTGCTTCTTCTCTTCTTCTGGCATCCCGATGAGATAAATGTTGTACCTCTTGAAGTTGTCCCAGAGGCTGCTTATACTATCCTCACTTTTTGGATTCATTTTCCTTCTTATTGTTCTGATTGGTTGTTTTACTTCCTTATGTTCCAAATTATTGATTTGGTTCTCAGCTTCATCCACTGTACTGTTGTTCTCCTGTGACTTGCTCTTCATTTTAATTAGTGTAGCCTTCATTTCTAACTGGATCATTTTTATACTGTTGAGGTCCTCACTAAGTTCCTTGAGCATCCTTATAACCAGTGTTTTGAGGTCTGCATCTGATAGATTGCTTATCTACATTTTATATAGTTCTTTTTCTGGAGTTTTGATCTGTTCTTTCATTTGGGCCATGTTTTTTGTTTTGTTTTGTTTTGTTATTTTTGTCTCCTCATTGTGGCAGGTTCCCTGTGTTTTTTCCTATGTATTAGGTAGAGCTGCTATGACACCCTGTCTTAGAGTGTGGCCTAATGTAGTAGGTGTCCTATGGAATCCAGGAGCACAGCCTCCTGTATCATCCAAGCTGGGTACTTGAAGTACACCCTTAGTATGAGCTTAGTAGACCCATCTTTTGTAGTTGAGCCCGGATTGCTGTTAGCAGGACAATAGGAGGGATTTCCCCAGGTCAGTCAGTTGTAAAGACTGGCTGTGACCACAGCTCTCCTCTATAGAGGATCAGCTGTGCAGGGGCAGGGTAATGGTGCTCCAATGTGGTCTGTAGTTGTCCACTGGGTGCACAGGCTCTGTGGTTTCCAAGCTGGTACAAGCCAAGATCTGTCTCCACCTGTATTTTGCCTGGGTCTACCCTGCCTGAGCTACAAAGTAATCTGAGATGGCTGCTACTTGTGCTGGCCTTGAAGATTCCCAGGCAAAGCCAAGCTGTGAATCTAGGCTGGCTGCTGCTAGTGCCAGGGCTGGGACCAGTACCTCTTAATAAGAGGTATGGGTGTTGGGGTTCTAACTGAGACTGTCTGTAGCTTGTTTGAGAGGACTTAGGAAGTTGTGAAGCCTGAGCCAAGACCAGCCATTCATATGGAAAAGCCACTGTTAATAGATTGCATAGGCCCATAAGTGGGGTGGAATGGAGCCTCAGGGTATCTACTGGGTGGGGTAAACAATGTTGGCCAGGTTGATGGAATTTCAGATATGGCAACCCCTGCTGGCTCTGTGGCTCTGTGAGGGGAAAGTTCAGAAACAGGAAAATTGCCTATGCCCATCTTTCTATCTGAGAGAAAGCTGTCCCCCAGTTCTTGCCTTGATGCCAGACACTTCAGTTCCTCCCTGTCTGCCACTGGTGCTTTTCAAGCTGCTATCCCAGTGCTGGAGCTCAGATGGAGTAAGTCTGTATGTGGGCTCTTTAAGAGGAATTCTTGAGACTTCAGAAGTTTCTTCCACTGACTAAATCCCTGCTGACTTTTGCAGACAAAAGTTATGAGAATTTATCTTCCTGGCACTGGCACCCTGTGGGAGCAGGGGGTCCTGGTATGGGGCTGAAACTCCTCACTCCCAAGATATCCCTCCTGAATTTTAATCCACCACATGTGGACATGGGGCTAGCCTGTTCCCTGTCTTCACCTCCTGCCCCACCAGTTTGGATGAACTGCCCAACCAGTTCCATAATTGTCAGACTTCCATTCAGCTCAATTTCTGGCAATTCTGAGTAATGATTGTTCTATAGTTTAGTTGTAATTTTGATGTTTTTGTGCGAAGAGCTGAGCTGTGTTTACCTGTGCCATCATTTTGACTGCTAGAAAATTCTCAGTTCATGGAGGTAACAGTCTACAGCTTCTTGGTCAGTGTAACTGATCTGCCCAACACAAAAAGTCCTGTTTTTTAATCAGTCTACCAGCTGCTAATACTTTGAATGTAGTTCTGATCATCAGTTTTTTCTGCTTCAGCTTCATGATTGAATCAGAAAGGGAATCAGAAAGAATGAATCCTAGAGAATGATCCGAAATGAATCCAAGTTTGCTGTTGACCCTCTGCCTCCTTCCATACTCCTGAGTGTCCTGGCAACCAGATACAATCCTACTAAAAAATGGGCAAAACTTCTTTGGGGAATCAATCAGACCAGTGTCAGAAAAAAAAAAAAAAAAAAGGCATAACACCCTTCCACAGTGGAACAGATCAGCCAGAACAGCCCAAGGGGAAGGCCACAGCCAAAAAGCCCCACTCACACCCCTAGACCTTGCAAAGAGCTTACTGGATCCCATTTTCTTCAGCAGATAGCCACGAAGCAATGGGATGGGGACAGAAAGGAGATGCTCTGTCCACAGTCACTCAGGGGCCCAGGATCCCCCAGGCTGGTGACTCTGTCCTCCTACAGGCCCGGAGAGTCCTCTCAACTCAGCTGGTAAAAGGGGACAGTGGGGTAGGTTTTTAGGGTCCAGGCTTGAAAGGGGAACACACTATTTCTGCTCACATACCATCAGCCAAACTCAGTCACAACAACCCACCTCACTGTAAGGGAGCCTGGGAAATTCATCTGGGTGATACCCCAGGAAGAAAAGAACATGGATGCTGGTGGCCAATAGCTGTCTCTGCAAGATAATACACTCAAAATGTTTAAAAATCAAATCAGTGATTTATTCTTAATCAGCCAAAAGGTACTATCCCAGCACACACAGCACAAAAGAAAAAAAAAAAGATAAATCATATAGACTGCACACAATTGATTATACATAGATAGAGATCATTTCAATGATTAGCAGGACTGACTTCCTGCCTCCCCCACCTCCTGAGGATAAGAACTTGTGACCTCAGCCTACTCACTCCCTTTGAGAAGGGGACTGAGAGGAATGCGGGATGGCAATCCTAATCATGTTACACCTGGATTCATATCATCAAGAAGTTTTACTGTATTTGTTAAATTCATACATGAACACAAGAATGAATGCAAGGTGCTGTGGAGGCTATAGAGAAGGATACCTGCATACCTCTATCTCTAAACCCCTACCTTCTTCCACTGACAGGCATCCTCTCCAACTCAGTTGATACATCACCTCTTCCAGGAAGCCTTCTCCACCAACCCTACTCTGCAACCCCACCCCCCCACACACACACCACATCAGGCATGATCAGGTTCCACTTGATTGCTCTGTATTCCCTCTTTTACTTTGTCCATCTTGCTAATTAGAGTCTGTTGTTAGACCACCAGGACCTCGGTTTCCTCCTCCATAATATCAGGAGTGCACTGTGTTACTCCACTTCCTGGCTGAGTGGCCCTAAGGCCACCAGCGCCAAAGGCCCCGGAAGTCAGGCTCCCTCCCAGGCAAGCTCCTGTCACACTAGGGGCGTAGACAAAACTAGGCCAAGACTTACCCGGGAAGCCGCACCCCCGTGCCTCCAAACGCATATTTATGCCCGGCCCTTTGGCTCATCTGTCAGCCAAGCCTGCCAACACCCGACTCCTTTAGCCAACAATGCAGCAAAGGTTACTCTACACAGTCCTCAAAGCTCCCAGAATTCTGGCCTCCATTTAGGGCTGGAGTGAGGCATGCAGCTCCAAGTCCTTCAGGGACAGAACAGCAATGTTGTCCCTGTTCTCTGCAGACCCTGAGGCACCCGGGCGAAGGCCCCAAGCCTCTCCCAGCTGCTTGCGTGCCAAGTGTTTTCCCAGTAGAGAATGCTGTTAACCTGCACAACTCCCCCGCTTTACAGAAGCCAACACTGAGCCCAAGAGTTTAAACAGGACAGAAGCACCTCCAACACTCTCCTGCGACGCCTAGGGACCCACTTCCAAGCCCCAGACCCTGCGGGCTCCAGTGCGGGTTGCACGGGGCGTGCATTCCTACAGCGTCCAAACCCGCACCCATCGACCCAACTGACTGCTGCCGCACCTACCTCCCTTTTAGGCGGACTGGAGAGGCAGCCGCTGATCAGGGCTGCAAGAATCCAGAGGAGGTAGCAGTGGCTTGTAGCCTGGTTCTCCAGGGTGCAGGGCGGGTGGGCCCCTGAGAGAACCAGGAAGCAGAGAACCGGACTCGCAGGCTGGCGCTGGGGGGGGGGGGGGGGGGGGCGGGAGGGGGAGCGAGGTGTCTCTCTGGGCAGATGGGGCGATCGTGGGACACGGGCACCTCCAGAACGATCCTGGGGGGAGCTCACAAAGATGCTGGAAGAATCCGGGGCGTTGGGGAGTGCATCAGGGGCACGAACACAGGCTGGCCGGAGCAGTTTCGGAACAGGCCTTGTGGGCTCGGGTCTGGGAACCACCGAGCTTAGGCTGGGGCGGGGTTGTAGCCAGGCTGGCGCCAGGCGCTGCGCTTAAGTCGGCACCCCTCCTTAACTGTCCCCGAGCGCTAGCAACTAACGCGGGCAAGTCTCAAAACTTCGGGAAGGTAACTGGCTGGCATTGAGTTCTTGGCTTACCCGAGTACTGAATACGCCACCTTCAGATCAAGGTCACTGGGGCGGGGGACGCCCTTCCAGGGGCTAAATTTCAGAAGAGGCAGCTTTAGGACTTTCCCATTCTTTGTCTGTTGCCTGCCTTGTTCCTGTATTCGAGTCCTTCCCGAAATCATTAGTAATCCCATCTTTCAGGGTGTCCAACCTGCAGCCTAACACAAAATTGTAAATTTACTTAAAACACTATTGAATTTGTTTTGTGATTACTCTTTCAATGTATTTAATGTATGGCCCAAGACAACTCTTATTCTTCCAGTGTGGTGCACAAACGCTGGAAGGTTGGACACCCCTCCATCTCAGTGTTTGTAGAAATTTCTGTGCATAACCTTAGAATATTTTTATTATAGGAAATTGCTTTTTTTTTCTGATTTCTGCTTTGTGAAAACTTAATCACTTATGACAGCTGCAGTTGTGTCATTATTTGATTAATGCCATTATTTGATTAATGTTCCCTCTAGATGTTCCTTACCTGTCTAGGACATTTCTGTATTCCTAACTTCTTAGCACAGGCCTGGCGTAATACAATAAATGCCTGTGGAACGAATGGATAAATATGGAAAGATATCAAGAAAAAAAAGGAAGTACAGCTAATGGTAACTACTGTGAGCATTTTGATATTATATCCTTCTAGATAGTTTTCTAGTGAACTTTCAGAAATCTCACAAATCTTATAGTAATAATAATGTGGAAAATTTACGAAGAAATTTATTTTATTTCATCATCACACAGGCCCTGAGGTAGGTTTCATTAGCTCTGTTTTACATATCATAAAACTGAGGCTTATAGAGATAGCTTTGCCCAAAAGATTTCTAAAGCGGCTCCACGTGGCAGAGGGCATGTGCACTTCAGGGCTGTGTCATTCTGTGCTAATAAAGGGGAGAGGAATTTGAAGGACCGCACAGGTGAGAGGGAGGAGGGAGAAAGGGAAAGGCTTCCAGAAGAGCAGCAATGTTCAACCAGTGTGCTGCAAGAATTTTTAAAACATGCAGTATCTGACTATTTAGTCAGGGGCACTGACCTCTTTTTCCTTAGATTGTCAAATAAAAAAATGATAGCAGCCAATACAGCCCTTTGGTGGGAAGGGCTGTGTTGAACCATAAGTGGCCATTATGGCCATTTCTTGAACCATAAATACATAGGCCATATAATAGATTTGCATTTTACTGGTCACGAACATGAAAAGGCCATGTCTGGTTAATTCTTGGTACCACAAACCCTTATATACAAGTATAGGCATCTGATTTTTTGAAGTCACTTTGGAGATAAAAGGGTAGGTGATTACTATTAGTATTATTATTATTACTTGCATATCAATAAAATGTACAGCTTAGTTTGGTCAGATCAGCAAAAAAAAATTTTGGGGGTGTGCTGATGAATTTTAATAATTATGTGTGCCATGAGAAGAAAAAGGCTGAAAATCACTGCAGTACAGCAATGTCCAGTGGGGGACATTTAAATAGTTTGCCAACCACACTCCCTATGTTCTACAGAGTTTTAGTCAAAGCATCCTTGGGCTGGAATAGTGTATGACCAAATTCTTCTATGGAACAAGAGGAAGTGCCTTGTGAAGGTGAGCCCTAGGCAAACACGGAGACCACCAGTGCAGCAGACCAGAGACAGAGGGACACAGACATCTGGGTATGCATGTGGATATACAGTTGACCTGTAACATGGGTTTGAACCTGAACTAGTTTTTATCTTTGTTTGGAAATTTGTGGATGTGGAGAGCCATTTTTATGCACTGAGCCACAACATTTTATATAGGGTACTTGAGCATCTGTGGATTTGGGTGTCCATGGGGGTCTTGGAACTGTAGATACTGAGGAACAACTTAAGTTTTGGGGAAAGTCAAAAGCTATATGTGGCTTTAAAAAATTCTCACCTGATATGTTTATTGATTTTAGAGAGGAAAGGAGAGAGAGAAGGGGAGGGGTGGTGATGAGGGGGGAGAGAGAGAGAGAGAGAAATATCTATTGGTTGCCTCCTGTATGCACCCTGACAGGGGATCAAACCCTCAACCATTTTAGTGCATGAGGATGATGCTCCAACCAGCTGAGCCACTGGGCCAGGGCAGCTCTACATGGATTTTTAACCATGTTGTAGTTAGTTGTATTTACATTTTTCTTAACAAGAGTGGACCCCTATCTATTGCTCATTGCCCCTTCACCACTAGGCTGTGAACACGTTTCTCTGGTCAAGGGTCATGTGTCACTTGCAGTGCCTGCTCTGACATGCCTTTTGCAGGATGCAGTAAGAGTTGATATTTATGGAGCATTCACTCTGTGCCAAGCACTGTGGTAATTTATTCCTGGGCAATTATCCCTTTCATCAAAACCCTCTTATTGTCCCCACTTCATACACAGGGAGACTAAGGCAGGTTAAGTGACTTTCCCAAGGTTACAAGTAAGTGGCAGAGCCAGGATTTGACCCAGGTCTGGGTGTATGCTGGCCCCTCTACTGTCCTGTCCTTAAGCCTAGACTCTAGTTTTGAGGCCTCTGAAAATTCAGATTCCTTTGGGAGAGCAAAGTCCTTCAGCTTGCCAGTTGCTATGGCCTTTGCAGGAAGTAGGTTCAAGTTTATGAGGCATGGCATAGGGGTCGATATACAGGCATCATCTTAGAAAATGGTGGGAGGAATGGGGGAAAAAATGTTCCTGAAAACCATCACTGAGTGTTTTATCCTTTGGTCTCTATGTTACAAGTTTTGAAAAATGTAAGATCTGGAAGATATTTTGGTTTGATATGTTGACTCCTTTGGTCACCTCAAGAAAACTCCTTTGGTTTTTGGCAAAAAACAGAACTGCACCTGTAATTCTGACCATAGGAAAGTCAGGCAGAAACAAAGAGTATGAGTTAGTCTGTCCAAGTCCAGAGGGAGACCAAACAAAACCCCGAAATGTAAACAGACTGAACAACTTATAGCTCTATGGCTGTGGGCAACTCGTCTGAGCCTCTGTAATTTTTGTCTGCCCAGCAAGTGTCCCTTTCTTTGCATAAGCATCTTCGTTTGTCTTGAAGGGACTAGTCGGCACCCTATTCTCAGTTTATGGGAGTAGCCCTCCCCACTTCCCTGGCTTCAAGTGTGGACCCCTGACCAGACCTGGCCAATCAGCACATTCCATTCCTTCACCCCACTGATTGGTTCTGAGATGAGCATGTGACCCAACCCAGGCCAATGAGACACTAAACCGGGTCTTTTATAGCAGCCATATAAAAGGGAATCTCTTTTCCAGAGAGTTGCTGAGCTGATAGGATGTAAGCCCAGGGTTTCTGGGCATTCGTTCCTATGGCAAATATTTATTAAGCTCCTACTGTGTGCCAAGTATGTGCTAGGAGTTGGGGGAAAGGGAAAATGAAAATTTCTTAGACTGTCATTATTCCATAACATTATAAACTGAGAAATGTGCTATAAGTGAAAAGCACAGGGACAATGAGGGATCATAAAGCCAAACCTGGTTAGGATAGCTACTCTGAATAAATGACATTTGAGTTGAGCTCAGAAGGGAGAAATAGGCATCATTTCCAGTAGCTTTAGTAGCACAGGTACCCTGGGTGTCCTCAGCAAGTTGTGGATCAGATCATTCTTGGTTTATGCTTGGTTCTTCCTTAATCACCTCCTTGAATCATCATACAAAGCTGTTTATTAAAGAGGTTGGGTAACAAAATAGAATTAAATATACAAGGAAAAAACACCGTCTCCTCAATGTTACAGTATCCAAGAGGAAAAATACACCTTTCACAGGGGACCTTTTGTTGACATACTCTTGTTCCAAGCCTTGCTCCCCTGTCCTGAAGCCTGCCCTTCCTTCTCGCACATGCACAAACACCACCTCTTCAAGCTCTACTAGAAAAATCCCTCTCCTGGCCCAATGAATTTGGGTTTTCCCACTTTCCCATCCCCAGAATTACACAGAACTCAACCCACAGGATGCAAAAGATACAATCAAGAAAGTAAAAACACAACTCAGAGAATGGGAGAAAATATTCAAAAATCATATATCTGACTAGGGAATTGTAACTAGAATATATAAAGAGCTTTTACAATTCAATAAGTGAAAATGGGCAAACCATTTTGACATTTCTCCAAAGAAGACATACAAATAACCAATAAGCAGGGGAAAAGATACTCAACAACACTAGCCACTAGAAAAATGAAAACCCAAATCACACCCACTAGAATGGCTATAATAAAAAGTCAGATAAGTGTTCACAAGAATTTGAGGAAACTAGAACCCTCATACCCTTCAAGCAGGAATGGAATATAAGCAATGGTTTGGCAGTTCCTTAGAATATTAAACATAGGTCTGCCACATGCTCCAGCAATTCCAGTCCGAGGTATATACCTAAGAGAAATGAAAACATATTTCCATACAAACTGAGTGTTCACAGCAGCATTATTCATAATGGCCAAAAAGTGGATACAACCCAAATTTCCATCAACTGATGAATGGATAATGAAAATGTGGCATATCTATACAATGGACTCTTGGTAATAAAAAGGAATGAAATACTGATACATGCTACAACACAGATGTACCTTTAAAACATTATGCTAAATGAAAGAAGCTATACACAAAGGCAACATATTGTATGATTTCAT